TTATTTTTCGGCTGCCCTGCCGGCAATAGTTAGCCTGCCGTTTACTAGAGGTGAAAGACGATCGGTCTTAGCCGCTTTTGACGTGTGCGCCTTTTCACGTGGGAGTCTACTACAGGAACCTTTGATCGTTTAGCTTTTCACGAGGCTTTCAGAACAAAAAAATGCTCCGTACATTAATCCATGGCCGCTCCCGAGGTACTTGCAAGCAGTGGTTAGATGCTGTGACTCGCTATAGTTTTCATTTTGTTTTTCAGGTCCATTGTTATCCTAGATAACGCAAAAATCCACATGTACCGCGAGCAGGGCTGCCGAATATGGTATTGTCATTTATTAGCGCAGATAGAGCCTCATAAATAATGCCAGGATCTTGTCATTTGTATCTGCATAAATTATGTAATGTATTCGAGCAATAAATAAATAATGTGGTGCAACTTCAACGGGGTATTAGACGTACTGTTACTCACACTAATTGACGCTATCGACTGTCGAAACGTCCCAGAAGTCACCATTCTCACGCAGAAACAAAATTGTTTCCAGCGTAGCGGACTGGAGACTGTTGCGCTCTTGAGCAAACGTGGTACGCGCCACGCTGAAAACCGCTCGACCTTGTTCGAGGTCGGCGGGATGCTGGAGATGAGGTCGTAGCGGGGCGTTCGCGCCTCGAGCCGGCGACGCTTCTCGAGACGCTGGACAAACGAGCCCTCTGGATCCTCGCCGCCGTCTTCCGCACCGTTCGTGAGATAGTATCATAAATTATGAGTGTGGAATAGTAATCTGGTATCATAAATAATGGTACGGTCTAAGCCACCGCTCATAAATTATGCAATAATATTTATAACAATTACTTGAGCGTCAATTTATTTTTCGGCTGCCCTGCCGGCAATAGTTAGCCTGCCGTTTACTAGAGGTGAAAGACGATCGGTCTTAGCCGCTTTTGACGTGGGCGCCTTTTTCGCGTGGGAGTCTACTACAGGAACCTTTGATCGTTTAGCTTTTCACGAGGCTTTCAGAACAAAAAAATGCTCCGTACATTAATCCATGGCCGCTCCCGAGGTACTTGCAAGCAGTGGTTCGATGCTGCGACTCGCTATAGTTTTCATTTTGTTTTTCAGGTCCATTGTTATCCTAGATAACGCAAAAATCCACATGTACCGCGAGCAGGGCTGCCGAATATGGTATTGTCATTTATTAGCGCAGATAGAGCCTCATAAATAATGCCAGGATCTTGTCATTTGTATCTGCATAAATTATGTAATGTATTCGAGCAATAAATAAATAATGTGGTGCAACTTCAACGGGGTATTAGACGTACTGTTTCTCACACTAATTGACGCTATCGACTGTCGAAACGTCCCAGAAGTCACCATTCTCACGCAGAAACAAAATTGTTTCCAGCGTAGCGGACTGGAGACTGTTGCGCTCTTGAGCAAACGTGGTACGCGCCACGCTGAAAACCGCTCGACCTTGTTCGAGGTCGGCGGGATGCTGGAGATGAGGTCGTAGCGGGGCGTTCGCGCCTCGAGCCGGCGACGCTTCTCGAGACGCTGGACAAACGAGCCCTCTGGATCCTCGCCGCCGTCTTCCGCACCGTTCGTGAGATAGTATCATAAATTATGAGTGTGGAATAGTAATCTGGTATCATAAATAATGGTACGGTCTAAGCCACCGCTCATAAATTATGCAATAATATTTATAACAATTACTTGAGCGTCAATTTATTTTTCGGCTGCCCTGCCGGCAATAGTTAGCCTGCCGTTTACTAGAGGTGAAAGACGATCGGTCTTAGCCGCTTTTGACGTGGGCGTCTTTTTCGCGTGGGAGTCTACTACAGGAACCTTTGATCGTTTAGCTTTTCACGAGGCTTTCAGAACAAAAAATGCTCCGTACATTAATCCATGGCCGCTCCCGAGGTACTTGCAAGCAGTGGTTCGATGCTGTGACTCGCTATAGTTTTCATTTTGTTTTTCAGGTCCATTGTTATCCTAGATAACGCAAAAATCCACATGTACCGCGAGCAGGGCTGCCGAATATGGTATTTTCATTTATTAGCGCAGATAGAGCCTCATAAATAATGCCAGGATCTTGTCATTTGTATCTGCATAAATTATGTAATGTATTCGAGCAATAAATAAATAATGTGGTGCAACTTCAACGGGTATTAGACGTACTGTTACTCACACTAATTGACGCTATCGACTGTCGAAACGTCCCAGAAGTCACCATTCTCACGCAGAAACAAAATTGTTTCCAGCGTAGCGGACTGGAGACTGTTGCGCTCTTGAGCAAACGTGGTACGCGCCACGCTGAAAACCGCTCGACCTTGTTCGAGGTCGGCGGGATGCTGGAGATGAGGTCGTAGCGGGGCGTTCGCGCCTCGAGCCGGCGACGCTTCTCGAGACGCTGGACAAACGAGCCCTCTGGATTCTCGCCGCCGTCTTCCGCACCGGTATCATAAATTATGAGTGTGGAATAGTAATCTGGTATCATAAATAATGGTACGGTCTAAGCCACCGCTCATAAATTATGCAATAATATTTATAACAATTACTTGAGCGTCAATTTATTTTTCGGCTGCCCTGCCGGCAATAGTTAGCCTGTCGTTTACTAGAGGTGAAAGACGATCGGTCTTAGCCGCTTTTGACGTGGGCGCCTTTTTCGCGTGGGAGTCTACTACAGGAACCTTTGATCGTTTAGCTTTTCACGAGGCTTTCAGAACAAAAAATGCTCCGTACATTAATCCATGGCCGCTCCCGAGGTACTTGCAAGCAGTGGTTCGATGCTGTGACTCGCTATAGTTTTCATTTTGTTTTTCAGGTCCATTGTTATCCTAGATAACGCAAAAATCCACATGTACCGCGAGCAGGGCTGCCGAATATGGTATTTTCATTTATTAGCGCAGATAGAGCCTCATAAATAATGCCAGGATCTTGTCATTTGTATCTGCATAAATTATGTAATGTATTCGAGCAATAAATAAATAATGTGGTGCAACTTCAACGGGTATTAGACGTACTGTTACTCACACTAATTGACGCTATCGACTGTCGAAACGTCCCAGAAGTCACCATTCTCACGCAGAAACAAAATTGTTTCCAGCGTAGCGGACTGGAGACTGTTGCGCTCTTGAGCAAACGTGGTACGCGCCACGCTGAAAACCGCTCGACCTTGTTCGAGGTCGGCGGGATGCTGGAGATGAGGTCGTAGCGGGGCGTTCGCGCCTCGAGCCGGCGACGCTTCTCGAGACGCTGGACAAACGAGCCCTCTGGATTCTCGCCGCCGTCTTCCGCACCGG